TACCACAGTGGACAAGAAATGCATGCACTAGTTTTCTCCTTACTATTCTATCAGGAAATGGAACGTTTACGAAAAAGAAAAGTACATTTCAAGCAACCATTACCACAATAATCATAATAAATAATAATACAATTTATGATGTACAAAATAGAAGCTCATATAATTACTTGTACAGTAATGTTTCTTCATCTATTGTCATTGAAATTCGGAGGCAAACAAGAAAATATGTTATGCTGGCACTGATAAAAAGGAAGGAGAAGATTTGTATTAAACAGAACATGTTATATCTCATTTTGTATTCCTCATGATTTTATTTATTGTATTTTATTTATTGTATTTTAGAAGTATTTCACCTTTCTTGTATATAACACTGTCTTCTTTTCAATCAATATTGTCATGCAATAAGCATTATAACATGTCTATATAATTCATTATTGACATAATAATTATCTGTATTTCTGTTGTGAAATAAAATGTAAAGATGAACAATATTTTACGCAATTGCAATAATCATCGCAAATCAAAACGTACAAATTCATATTTTTTATATTTTGCTGTCTACATTGTGGTATTCCAGCAATAATTATTCGTTTAAACAAATTACGATATGGAAGCTCACGTAGTTAAACATGCTATTAGGGTATATATAATAAAAAGAAATAGTATTCAAGAAGTTAATTGCAAAAGATTGTTTGAAATAGAAAAATATGAAATAGAAAGTTGTAAAAATTATTATAATAGCAATAATGCAGGAGGATAAAGATTATATTCAGACAGAAATCCATGAAATATCACACCACATATGTACTTACGTATTCTTTGAATGAATGTTCGGCAGGATTAAGAAAAATATGTGCTTTTTGCCTTTCCTCTGCAATGGAATTATTGGCCCTTTTATTGTGTAATCTGTTATCCTAAGACAGTACAAATTGTTATCAAATATTATCCTATATTGATAATGTAACTCCTTTATTTCCCTCATTGTATATTAACTTCTTAATATGGGATACCCAACTTTCTGCTCTCTCTCTCTCTGTCTCTTTCTCTGTCTCTCTCTCTGTCTCTCTCTCTGTCTCTCTCTCTGTCTCTCTCTCTGTCTCTCTCTCTGTCTCTCTCTCTGTCTCTCTCTCTCTGTCTCTCTCTCTCTGTCTCTCTCTCTCTCTGTCTCTCTCTCTGTCCCTCTCTCTCTGTCTC